GATCGCGCCCAACTGCGATCGCGACTCCCCCACCTCCCTCCCCAACTGCGCGCCCCCACCCCCGACACCAACCAGGACCTCATCCCTCGACTTCCCCCTTCCCACGCGCGGCCCGCGCGCGGTCCTCCTCGTGGCCCGCGCTCGATCTCCCGAGTCTGCTTTCCCCCCCCTGCGTGAGTCTCCCCCCACGTTCCCCCCCCCATCATCATCATCATCATCATCGTCAATCTCCTCGTACAAACCTTTCCTTTACCCTACCCACCACGCTACCACCCAATCAAATCTTTTTCGACATTTCTTTAAAATTTGAGACTACCTTTAATTCATTCTTTTTCGAAAATTTTGAAATGCGTTGGAATTAATTAAATTCTTTTTTGATATTTCTCTTTCAAAATTCAAAAATAATTTTAATTAATTCTTTTTCTTGAATATCTTAATTCATAAAATAAAAAAGTCCCTTTTTATTTTTTGAAATTTTCTTGAAATTCGAAAACGCCTTGTGATCAACTCTTTTTTTTCTTTCTTAAAACTCGACAATATTTTAGCACTACTTAAATCCTTTTTCAAAATTTTCACGTTTTTGCAAAACCATACCCCAAAATTAATTTCAAAGAAAATTAAACCTTAATCCGAATTTACTTTTCTTCGAAATTAATTATCTCCTTTTTCCTTTTTTCAATATTCTCTGCAAATTTTTTTAGAAAATTTCGTTTTGCAAGTTTTTCTCCTTCGGATTCTTCTTGAATTTCTTCCCAAGGCGTATCCTTGAATTAACCTCAAATAACATTAATTAATTCGAATCGGAATTAATCCACTTTAATTTTGCAAAATCTAGATTTTTTTTTTTTTGTAAATTATCTTCTTTTGACGTTCTTGTAAATAGGAACCCACCCCCCCCCCCCCCCCTCCCCCCGGGCATGCCACGCTCAACCAGGAACTCTCAACTCGCAGCCGCTGAAGCCACCGCCGCTGCCGCCGCCTCCACCTCATCTGTTGCTAAGTCCTCATCCGCCGCTACCATGGCCCAATCATCTAGCATTGATATGTTCGGCATCCGCACCGACTCCGTTGGCAACATCGCCCTCAACCTCGCAGGCGAGCAAACACTTGCACTTGATGCCGCCATCGACCTCGCGACTCTTTTCCGCATGATGACGTCTCTCTAGTCATCCATGGACGACATCAAAACATCTGTTTCCACCATCTCTGCTTGCGTGACCACCATTGAAAGTCACACCCCCGCCATCCAGGTCGTCACCACCACATTCCCCCCCCCAACCTCGGGTACCACCACCCTTCCCCCATCCTCCTCCACATCTACACTAATCACGTCGTCCCCCACGTCCACCGCCCTCTCCGCTAGCACATCATCCACACCTCCACCTTCATCCACCACTACCTCCACCTTGGTCACCAAGACGACAATCCCCGCCGTCACGCAGTCATCAATTCCCTCCGAGTCAAAACCCCTCATGACTTCATCCACTATCACTTCCACCCATACCCAGACCGCCCCCACACCTCAAGCCTTGCTCCCTATTATCCCAATACCTCCTCCGTCCACACTCCTCCCGACCAATCCGACTACCGACTTCACCCGCGTACCGTCCTCCTCACCCAAACTTGATTTCAACACCCTCGCCACCACAACACTCTTAACGGGTAACATTCCCCCATTCTTCCGGTCAATGGATATCCCCCTCTGCACCGGCCTTCCCCATGAGGGCGTCTTCATCTTTCTCATCAAACTATATACGATGCCTTCTCCCTCCACAACGTCCCTGTCACACACTGGCTCCCTATTGCCAGCACCAGGCTACAGGAAGGCGCCACTCGTTGGTGGTACACCGAACGAGCTAACCGCCAACACGCAAATGAGGAACCCCATTCCTTCCTTCAGTGGGCCAATCTCATCACCAACACACTTCGACCACAACAGACGGTCGATGACTACTTTGAGCAACTTTGTCGTCTTCGACAGAACGGCCCGACTGACCGCTTTGTCCGTGCGTTGCGGCAACACATCCCCCTTGACTACGTTAGCGATACCGCATTCATCTCCCGCTTCAAACGGGGATGTCACAAGGACCTAGCCACCTCACTTGTCCACGACCCCCCAATGTCGCTCTCCGATCTCCTCAACCGCGCCATTCACCTCGACAAATTCCTCACCCCGTACAAGGACGCACTTACATCCGCCCCACCCCGCCCACGATTCTTTCATAACATCACCGGCGAAACCTCTCTCTCTGCCTCCTAGGACGAATTCTTTGCCCTCGAACCCGGCATCCTCACCAATTCCCTAGACACCACATCACTCTCCTCTGATGAACTCTCAACCATTCACCTCATGCGACTGGAAAAGAGAGAACGCTTTAGCCGCCCTCCCCCGACCACCAACCCGGGCCACCTCAAGAAACTCACACCCGAGGAAACAGCCCACCTTCAAGCAAAAGGTGGATGCTTCCGGTGCCAACAAATAGGCCACCAGCAAACCAACTGCCCACTTGCTAGACAATTCACACGCCATCCCGGGACCCTCCAACCTGCTACTTCCGCATCCGCCACTCCCGGGCCCTCCACTTGAACACTGTCCCCATGGTCACCACACACCCGTCCCGACATCGGCGACTAGTCCGCCGACCATCCCATCCATGACAACCTCCACCCCACCGGTGACCCATTTAGCATCGACAATACGTCTGCCTCCCTCCTCTCCGGTGCCGCACATCCCACCGGACGACCCCCAGGCGTTGCAACCCTCATCGCCTGACGCCCCCTTCACCGCCACATGTTTCACAACCCTCCTTCCAAATCCATCCTCTGTCACCTTCTCTGATGTTGTTGAAGAACAAGCCCGACTCAATCGGCTTCAAACGCCGCCTCAACACCATTATCTCCATTGCCAACTCATCACGCTTTCACCTCAAATTCATCGCCGCCACCCTTGGTGCGTCTATGACTAAGTTTCGGGCCCTCCTTGACATTGGAGCCACTGGTAACTTCATCACCGACGCGTGTGTTTGGAAAGTCGGTCTTACCTCTACTGGTTACGACTCCCCGGTTACGATTCGTTTAGGGCACAAGGACACCGTTGTCGTAGCAGACCATAGGGTTCCCGAGACCACCATGACTATCGAAACCCTCCGCAGTCAGGTCTCATTCGATGTCATGCACTGAATGTGCGACATGCGACATCGTTTTGGGAACACCGTGGCTGGACCGCTACATGCCATACTCGTTCCACCCCAACTTCATCCGCCTTACAAACCCCCCTGACACAACCATCAACATTCCCTATCTCCCCTATCCCCCCTCCCCAAGCTCCGTCACCGCGCACCAATTCCTTCACATGGCTCGTACGTACCCTAATTCCACCTCCTATTGCCTTGTCCTTGATCGCGAGCATTCGGAGCACTTGCTTCCAACGGACAAACCCCACCAAGCCCCCCCCTCCGACCCCGCCCTCACCTCCATCTTCGACGAGTTCAAGGACGTCTTCCCCGAGTCCTTACCCGTTGGGTTACCTCTGGATCGTGGTGTGTCCCACACCATCGATTTGGAGCCCGGTCACTCTCCACCTTGCCGCCCCCCGTACCAACTCTCCGTTCCAAAAGTCGAAGAAATGAAGCGGCAGCTCAATGAATTCCTTGAAAAAGGATTCGTTAAGCCAAGTTCATCCCCCTTCGGCACAAGCTGCCTTTTCGTTAAGAAAGGCGGAACATCGGAACTCCGGATGTACACAAACTACCGAGCCTTGAATCGGATCACGATCAAGAACAAGTACCCCTTATCTCGAATATCCGAGCTTCTTGATCGCCTCCGTGGAGCCAAATATTTTACCAAAATTGACCTCCGCAGTGGCTTCCACAGATCCGCATCCGCGAGGAGGACACCCACAAGACCGCATTTCGTTCTCGCTTTGGGCACTATGAGTTCCTCGCGATGCCCTTCAGACTCACCAACGCCCCTGCCACATTCCAATCCACCATGAACCACATCTTCCGCGACCTCCTCGAAGTCTGTGTCGTCATTTACCTCGATGATATCCTTTGTATCCTTAGAGAGCAAAAATTATACGCCAAGCTCAACAAATGCACGTTTGCTGCTTCAAGCATTGAATACCTTAGCCACATCGTCTCCGCTGAAGGAATAAGCATAGACCCCTCCAAGGTCATCGCCCTCATCGAGTATCCACCACCCAAGACTCTCCTCCAACTTCGCTCATTTCTCGACCTTGCCAACTACTACCGCCCCTTTATCCGCAACTTCTCCGACATCTCGTAACCCCTCCACGAACTCACCTGCAAGGACGAACCCTTCACTTGGAATGATCGCCGCCAAAACGCCTTCGACTTCCTCAAACAAACCATCACCACGGTGTCGTACCAAATACCCTTACAAGGGTATTTGGTACGACACCGTGGTGATGGTTTGAGGGTATTTGGTGTGGTTTCTGCAAATCACATTAATACAGCCTCGTCTGGTCGACGGCGTGCGTACGAAAGGAAGCTTAGGCCCTCGCCTGGGTTAGCGGCACGCGCGGGGTATTGACGGCGAGGCAGGACCATACGCAGCCTGGGTATGCGCGGCGTCACGGGCCAGAGGGACGTGCGACATTTATCCTAATTTTTTATCTTTTAGTTTGTTCATCTTTTTTTCTTTTTTTTTTTTAGTCGAGGGTTTTACCTCGATAGTCGGTCCTGAGGCTGACGCCGAATACGGGTGGCCGTCACGGCAGTCGAGGACCTTGAACGTACGGTGCTTCGGAGGGGCGGTGGGTATTTTGACCCACGGCGAGGGAGGAATATTAGCGGCAGGGAGCCCTTGGTGAGCGCGCTGGCCGCGGCCCGCAATCAATTATGAAGAAATTTGAGTGTGAACATGCTCGCCGGGCCCCGCTAGATGGTGACCTGTGCCCGAGCGCGGAAGGGCAAAGCAGCCCGGAGCATTGTGGAGATGCCGCAGTGGTACGGCGATAGGCTGCGGATTGTGGGGAGATCCCGTAGCAGCCACATCCGTGCTCAAGCCTCCGATGAGGGAACATGCAGGAACTGCACCCACCAGCGGGTGCGATACCTGCAGCAGCAGGTGGGTGATACCTGCCAGGGGTCAGCCAGTGGCATCAGGATCAAGCTCCTTTGAGGAGCCGGCCACCATGCCTCCCCTCCGGTCTCCTCCCCCTATGAGCGTGAGCGACTTCAGCATAGTGCCACTTAGGGGGATTGTCGGACGCTAAGTAAGTGCAGCGGGCGTGGGACAACGGAGCGGGTGGGCAAAGCCGGGCGGCAACAAGCAGATAGTGCAGCGGGTAGCAAGCAGATAGCGCGATGGGTAGCGAACACAGTGGGAGCAGGCGCTCAGCGAGAGGGCGAACGAGCGGAGCAGAGCGGCGGGGACCGTCGAACAGACAAAGGCCGGGAGCTGCTATAGCTGCAACGAGTAAAGCTGGGCAGCGAGACAAAGGGCGACGAACAACAGGCAACGGGGGAGAAAGAATCCGGACGGGATTCTGCGTCGGATGCATGCGCAGTAGGGAAGAAAGCAACGCCGGGGGGGGCGGGAGAACAGATATGGCGGGTGAAGAAGCTCGTAGCACACTCGCCCCCTGGTAAAAACGAGTAAGAGGAGGGATGCATTAGTAGTAGAAAGAGGCAGAGGGCCGAGGTAGCAAACGCAGTGAAGAAAACGAACTGAATCTAGACGGGAAAGTGCGCTAGGTGCATACGGAGGAAAAGAATGGGTTATGGAGGAAGTGCGTGGAGGTGGAAAGTGTGAAGCCCGCCCGATTCTCGATGAAATCGGGCGGGGAAAGAAGTGATTTCAAGGTTTCCGAGTAGGGCGAGTCTGTTTTCGATGTTAGTTTTAGCTCTAGAGTAGTAGAAACAAAAGTTAGTAGAGAAATTTTGGGCGGAGATATGGCGGAGGGGGAAGATGAAGGGAATGAAAAGGTTGAATCTCACTCGATCCTCAACGGATTCGAGCGAGATAGGAGGCGAAATGGGGGTTTCGGGGATGGGAGAATTCGAATCCGGAGTTCGATTAGTAGGTGAGTCAGTAGTTTGGGAGTTAGTTGGAAAATATCTTATACATTATGTATATAATGTATAAGTCTGATTTATTTATGATACTATACTGTCTTATTATTTTTTTTGAAAAAATAAAGAGACTATGTGTAATGAAATAATGACTTTTATTTACAAAGGTCCTGAAATACCTTGTTTTCGAATCATTAAAAAATGCATTAACAAAAAAACAGCAGTAAGAAGAGGAAGCACAAAGGTATGTAAACTATAAAATCTTGTTAAAGTTGATTGTCCAACACTCACGCTTCCACGTAATGATCATCGGGGAGATGGCGATGGAGTTAGAAGAGAAGAGAAGGAAAGTGATCGTGTACTTCCGTTTCTTGATGGATCTTGCCGGAATAGGAATCGAACCCATGGTTTTGGGGAGAGGCGAAATGGAGCGTGATGTTAGTTTTGATAGGAAGTTAGAAAGTTAGTCACTATGAGAATATAGGCTGCACCCGAAGTAGTAGTTAGTTGGAATGTAAGTATGGAGT